CTCCCTCCCCACCCAGCCAGTAGGCCATCTTACCGCCCTCCTTCCACCTGGTCTTGACGGCAGTAAACCCGGCGGCGTGGATCAGCCCGTCAAGATGTTCAGGGGTGAGATACCGCGAATTCAAAATGCAAGGCAAGGGCAACTGTGACGGTCCATATGCGGTTAAGCGACATGCATGCGGCACCGATACGACAGGTGCTCACCGCTAGAAAGAGGTGCCCTCCTGGCCGTAACATTGAGTATACTAGCCGAAGCATTCGCCCTACCATCGTTATGACAATGGTTAGGTGTAATACAAGAGATAGTTGTGAACGAGGGCATCTTACCTCGGTTCTTGGCATCCGGGACAAAATTGAGGACAAGGCTCAGGCTCACGATATCCCATTTTTCTCGGTGCTCTTCTTCGTCCATTAACAGGAAATCTTGCTCCCTGATGTCTGGATGCCGCGAACGCAGGTCGATGGGCGTGGGGTCGATCCACGCGGCACAAGGTGCATAGTTGTCGGGCTTGAGCGCACCTACCTCCAACAACCTACCGACACGTTGACGTTTGGAATCAGAGTGAATGACTGCAAGCCCCGAAGCTTGGTCCGACATATACACTCACTTTAGCCGTTTCTTCGCATTTCGCGCACCATCCGCGACGCCCAGCTCCCTGAGCCACTCGACCAGGACCTTCTCGCTCCCGCCTCCACGATCGCTACCCTGCCCGATGCTGGACATCCTCTGGTACGCACTGAGCCCACCCAACTCCTCAATCTCGCGCTCAACGTCCGCGAGCGAGGTCGTCGCGTTGGCCGGACCATCCGGATGCGTACTTTCACAAATGGCCTTTTCGAGCTGTGCCTTGCGCTTTATGAGAACGTGGAATCTCCGGATGAGCGTGCGCGTCGAGGTTGGGTTACTAGACGATCCGGAGGGCCCGGGGCGCGTAGAAGACTCGGCTCGGGTGACTGGTGTCTTCCGTTTGGGCTTTCGAGCCTTTGGCATCCGTGGATTGTTGAGCCGCTACTTTTATGTGAAGGATTAACTCGTGAAGTTGTGCCGTTGGCGCCTCATCGATTGACCTCGAAGTTGGAGTAAATACAGACGGTCGTTCTATGCTGAGACGTCGGACAGTGGGCGACCAGTTGGCGTTCTCGATTTATGTTCACCTGACCAATTGGTCGACAAACAGCACTCATGCCAGTGGACAGTGTCATTTGTGGTGCTAGATCCTCTCTTCGCCGACAACCTGAGCCATCCAACTTGCAACAATTCGGCTACGAACTGCAAACACCGCTCTAGCTCCTCGATAGCGCAGAGGTGGTAGCTCTGACCTAATGCGTACATGATACTCTCTACTTCCCCTCCATCTACGCACATCCCAATCGATGGAGGCCTGTGTCTCACAGGCTTTGACCCATAAGGTACTCATTCCCTGTGGGGCATACGCAGAGCATGAGAAGCCTAATACCTACAGACGACGTACCTGCTGCTCATGAAGCCTCATTGAGAGGTGTCAAGAGCACGCTCTCGGCGACATCGGCTAATTATTGCCCGCATACCTCCGCAGAGGCTCTCCATCTCCCCAGAGCATCATTAATTTACAGGAGTCAGTATGATGGCATGCGGCCACTAGTATAATCTTATTGCACACCTATTCTGTCTCGTAATCTCATCGAGTGCCAGTGGGTTAGTAGATTTGATTATGGAAACTATGCCATACACCTTCCACAGATTTCTGCTCCTGTGCAGGGCCAGAACAAATTGTCCTCTGATATGAAGGAATTTATGATCTTAGTATTGAAGAGCGAGACTAGGATTCTCCAACTTTCATCAATTCATCATTAATAGCACATGCGGAAAGGCCCAATTTTGAAGACAAAATAAAACATACTGATTTTTGTCACAATCACGCTCATGAAAATAGACGTACACAGCCGTATGACGCATCATGAAGGGAAAAGATACAGCCTCATCGTAAAGCTCTAGCCAGTGTGTAGCTGTACTTGTCGTCGCGCTACGCAAGGGCTAGAAATCGAAATTGGCTTTACGCGTACTCCTCATGCTCACGTAGGTGAGTGCATTCATTCAACGAGAGTCAGCGCTGGGTAGACACCGAGATTGGTTCGATATTTCGGCAATTCCTGTTTGTACGAGTGAATCGTGAGTGTCGCTACCTATGTGCGCGTTGGGCGATCTGGCCCTCTGATGCCATGCCGGTATCAGCTGCGCCAGCGGGATTTCCAGCACCAACACCAGATTCAACGCCAGAAGCTTCACGACCTCTGTGATCGACATGTTCCTGGAGCTGAGGCCAAGTATAGCGTCGAGAAGTGGAAGTGGAAGAGCGCGGGCCCGACAAAAAATCTGGGATGTCATACTACCAGATCATCTCAGATCTAACAGAGACAACGTTCCTACCCCCAGCGAGGACCCGTGTCACGGTCACTGTACGTGAACAACATGAAGGATAGATAGGCCGCGGTTGAGTAGTATCCTCGACGCATCGCACCTTCGGAAAAAAACGAAGCGGTCGGTGCGTTGAGCGGGAGCGGGTACCTATCGACACGAATGCTGTCAGTAAAGGCTATCTTCAGCGAAACAATAACTAATTACCGAATGTATATAAATTCGACAAGCCCGAAAGCATAGTGCCCCACTTGTAACAACTAGGGACAAGTGCGCCGATGAGATCCATGATGTTGAACGAGCACAACACCCATGAGGATCGTCATTAAGATGTCGGAAAGCGTAACACCGGTAGCGAGTAGTAAAGACAAACGTTAACAAGGGGAAGGCGATGAACCGCCGAATGTACCGGACAAACTACGACAGATGTGTCAGTCCACAAACTTCTCGTTCAAGTAGGACAATACTTACGAAGATTCGACGAGTACTGTTATCACGGAATTCAGCTACCGCAGAGCGGCACCCACCAGGGAAAAGTAGGCGATACTGGCTATGATTAAAACGACAACGGCTAGAAGGAGCGGGAACTCAGCTGTGCTTGCTCCAACCTCATAATTTGCTTCAGCATCGTGATGGACATCCCGCGGTGATTCAAGTGGTACCGCTCTTGCGCCTTGAGGTGTGTCATCGTGTTGACACATGGGAGCACCTTAACCAAGCGCTTCTTTAAAATATTCCTGTTCTGGTTGCTATTCTTTCTTCACGCTGTCTTCTCTGCTCCTTTGGACCACACAGTGGCCACAATTACCACATTTCGTACGGACACATCCGCGCAAATTTTCCATAGCCAACAAAAATTGTTATACGAGGATCCGGCCATGCGAGGATCTGAAATACGATGCATGTAGATGGCACTGGCTACCCTCTGCAAGTTGTCTCAGGATACGAGATGCTAATCAGTTTCTGCCGTCTATTCCAAGAATACCACGCACATATGCCATTCAAGATACAAGATACGGCTGACCTGCATGTATGCTAGAAAAAGGACTGTCAGTTCGCAGAAAGAGTTATACCACTTAAATGAGTGCAAAGCGTCGTCCGATACACACTAAAGCATGTCGCAGTCACTGATACAATTCGGAAAACATAATGTCCCAGAAACGGCTTACGCATGACTCAGGAACACACCATCATCAACAATGAAATTACATTGCTCAGTCTAGTTTGTGGACCCTGTGTAGAGGATTTCGAGCGTACAAGTGAAAATTCTACAACAACGAGCCTGTATGACGAGTTACTATCAGAACCCTTCTATTGGAAAATGGTAATGCCAAACACTGCACCATGAAGTTCAAGAAATTACAAGATGAATCAAGCCAGTCCATGAGGTGTTAAATCCAAACAGCCAATATTCCAGCTAACAACAGTACATTGTGGTAATTCAAATGAGACAGGTGAGAAACATTGTCCGATCCAGCAAGTCGTATGAATAACTTCGATGGGAGGAGCGGGCACCGATACATATAAACATCGTTGACAAGACAATATCAAGGAACCACGACGACAATACGGCGCTTCCTTCACGGAGACCCCTCGGAGGTCTTCTTACGTCTTTTGCGCTCCTGTTCTCGAGAATTGAGTCGCACTCCAAAGCGGGAGATATACTGTGAAAGTGTCAGGTCGAAAGGGGCGGGCGCACAAGCCGACCTAACCTTCGTCAAATCCGTCGAAGCGGGCAGCCCCGGGAACTCTTTAGAGGAATAAATCTTGAAAACACCTCCAAAACACTGCGCCAGTACGGGCACAGCGACGTGACCGAACGCGTTTGACAAAATGTCGAAGGCACGATAGCGAAGCATGAATAGCCCTTCCGCTCTTACTGCAAGGTCCTGTACACGGGAGGCAGCTCACGTGAGTGTGAGTGATAGATGCATGTTCACGGAAGACACATACGGAAAAAATGAACATGAGCACCTTCCTCCCGTTATAGTCTAGGCAGGTTGGCGAAACAAACGTTGCACCGACGAGTAACTCCGTCTCATTTGAACTCTCTAGAATGGGCTGATTGTTGATATACGCAACGACTTCTTCTTCAGGACCATAAGTCCGGGAGAGCTGCATATCGGATCCCGATGCTGAAGAGACTGGTTCGCTACTGTGACTTGAATGTGCGGCGCGAACGGGATCAAAGGGCAGGGTCCTAGTCAAAAACGGAGCCGGGGATGGCACTGAATATGCAGAGTGTGAGGTCGGTGAGTTGCTGGGCCGCATGGCGATCATCTCTGCATTACGACTGTCGTTGCGGAGGGGGGATTGGGAGGAAGTCCTTGTGCCATGATGTGCGCTGGGATGCAGGGTCGTTGGCGGTCCCACGTAGGGCGGGACGTCCAATCTCTGGCTGTCGATGTCGGTAAGTGCGACAGGGAAAAGGTCGACATGACACAAGAAACCGAGGCTCTGCATACGGCTGTAGACAGAATAAAGGACATGTTATCAAAGCTTCATGTGCAACAGACCTGTAATCGAGGATTTCCTCTTCTTTCTCGTTGGCGGTGCCGATGTTGAGCACCCGGTAGAGTTTCAGTTGCACTACCGGTGGAGGGTCAAACGGCCTTCTGTCCTTGCGGGCATACCTGTGGCTTCATCAGCGACATGAAGGGGGGAGATGGGCAGTACGGACTTGCGACCAAGCTCCGCCTGCTGCAGTTCGATTAATTCCGCACGAAGCGTGAGACCGGCGAACTGGCCGGCGACGAAGGAGACGGGCCTCCCAATCAAGAGGGAGTCGATGGGTTGGATATGCTGTGGGCGGTGAGAAGCGGCATTGTCGGGGGGGAAGCGTGTACATACAAAATCATGCGGCATGTCTGGAAGCGAGTCGGGTTGGGAACTGTTGTGAGAGAGGCGCCGCCGCGGGCGTGGAACTCGGTGCGAGGAAAATTACGTATGGGAAGAGGGCAGACCATGAGGAGGACAGACGTTTGTATAGATAGACCCACGAGTCGGAAAAGGGACAGCGGGGCAGGTGGCAGACATCCCCCGCAGGCCCCGACAGCGCCGAGCGTCCATTGCGCGCACATCAGCAGGCACAGCGGCGACGTGCGAGGCCGCTCGAGGCTTCTGCCTGCTCTTGCGGACTCCACGCTCGTCGTCTCCACTTCCGACTTTGTTCCCGCGGTGTATCTGCGCCCTGCCCCAGTCACGTGCAGCGCGCCGCCTTACCACTGCACACCGCCCCCGCACGGTCACGGTGGTCTTCCCTCCGCGCCATGTCGATCAGCGTACAGGACACAATGTCTCTCTCCCATCTCCTCTTCTCCCATTCCACTCTCACTCACGCTGCTCCCTCACAGAAAGGCCATCCGGGACATGATTCCCATCATCGACCCCGACGAGGACTACCTCACCATCGCCGCGGCTGAAGAGCAGATGACAATCACAGAAGGCGAACGCCGTGCGGACCTCGAGGAGGCCCAGTCCAAGGTCCGCTGTATGTGCTGCTATCTTCGACCCGGAACACGACTTGACTCCTCCATCCTTAGCTCTTACCCGTCTTTTGGACGCCGCGCGCATATCCTCCACTCGTCCATCCACCGTCCCTTCTGCCGAAGCACATGCCGCTACTCTAAATGAGCTCGACGCCACACGCCTTTCCCTCGCGAAAGCCATCAACGATGCCGAGAGCGCCCTTGCGAGCAAGGAGGCGGAGCTGGCGCGTCTCAAGGAAGAGCTCCACGCCCTGGAAGCTTCGGATTCTGCCTCAGAACATGACTTGGATGCAACCGCGTGAGTGTACATGGTCCATGCTTACCCGCTCGTCCCCTTCGTATCTCGGGCGGGCCGTCCGCGCGACTCACTGCGCCACACAGGCTCCGGCTGGCAATGTACAAAGGGATTGGTTTCGAGCCGATCATGGGGAAGGATGGTCACATTAGCAAGATGCTCGTTCGTACGTGGCCCGCTTTCTTTGGAACCACCAAGTCGTCATGGATGCGCCCCAGGTTCGCACTCAGGTGACGTTCACCGCGTCAGCTTTGATGAGAAAAAGTCGGAACATGAATATGCAAACTTGCTCTGGAAACTAGCCTCGTCATAGCTACCTTGCCGGCCCACACTGTTCATTCTGCCACTTTTGTATCTGGGACGTCTGCCCATGTATTTCCGGTATACCCTGAATGTAGCGCTTTCATATCCCTGTATCTAGTCCTTGGATTTGAATAATCAGAATCTATATACAACTGTAGTAGTGTGTGTGTCGCTGTGGTGGTGCATGGAGCGATCAGATAGATCTTCTACGCTCTAACGACCCGCTATATCAAACCATACGCAGCCTGCACGCGCCTTCAGCATTTCTCGTCATAATGAATGGGAGCGCGATACCTTTACGTCGGGTTTGACCACCCAGATCTTTTGCATCTTGCACTTCTCCCCTATCTCCCGGACCTTTGCCTCAATCGCGTTCTTCTTCACACGTTGTTCACGCAGATCCTGGTGCACGCTCTCCACAATAAATGTAAGGTTATTCGTCGCCAGTGAGGCCATTCGCTGGAGTAATAAAGGTATATGCGCCTCAGGGAATGTGGTCTTGGGTATCAACAACGAACGCTTCTGGCTCGGTGTCGTTGTGCTTGGGGCGCTCGTCGACGTCGACGGGGGCGCATTGAGGCGCGACGGAAGTGCAGGAACAGCAAACTGCACGTCCGGGTGTTGGCTGTCGGGCATATGTTGTGCAGTTTGCTCATCTATTGGAGCAGAGATGAATGTGAAGGGATCAATTGGATATGGTGCATCTGTATAGCCCCCATTACTTAGCAAGCCGAACAAAACAGCTGACACTAAACATACCGTTGAGAAGCTGAATGCGGTACGAGGTAAAGGGTTCGTAGGAACATTGTCCGATATTTGACTCCCAGCATGGCCCTTTGACGAAGGGGACAAGTGGGACCACCACCTTGCGCTTCTTGCCATGCTTCGTGGCCTCTGACCCTGCCTTCCGCTTGGGTACTGTCGGCAGGGGAATCGGAGCATCCGCGGCACAAACATCTGGGGTGCAGGCTCGCTCCTCGACCGGTGTACCAGGCTCCTCGACCTCGTCATCGTCCACAAGCCAGCTGTCTAGGTCAGAGTCTTGCTCCTCGTTGACATCCTCCTCTTCGGCATCACCCATCACATCATCCGCCTCCCCATTCTCTTCCTCCCATTCTGCGCCGCTGTCATAGGTGTAGTCAATGGAAACTACATCGCGCGCAAATGGAGTGCGGGGTCCGACCTCCTGCGAACTGCGCGTCCAAGTGCCAAAGTAGCCCGGTCGTAAGTCCTCCGTAAAGATCAATGTTTTGGCGGGAATCTTTGTACGGTCGCGAAGCAGAGCTGTAAGGGAGCGCACTCGTGAAACATCACCTGAAATCTCGGCCTCATTGAGCCGGGCCATGATATCCCGGACAGAATATGAGGGATAGGTCTTTAAATGTGAAAGGGGAATTTTCCTCCGATGCTTATAGCCCGTGGCGAATGGCATACGCTTCAAAACATCTTGTAGGCGTTCTATTTCAGAGTTGAGCATTATTCGTTAGGACCATATACAATGCGACGAACCTTCAGAAGATAATTGTCCGAGATCTGCCAGACTTGATTCGTTCACACTAACGACTCCAATTTCTCTCGAATCATCATGGTCAAAATCATCCAGGACTATGACATTTCCTTCGAGTCTCTCTTTCCCCTTGAGAGATCGCCCGTCCATGCACCGAAAATAGTTGATCGGTGCCATCTTGACGTTTTTCTTGACAACAAACGGTTTGAAAGTTCTCTCAAAATCCGATTGCACAGAAGGGCCAGCTACATTGGAATCCTTGGAAGGCGTCGTGTCAAATGGTGGAACTTTCGATTTACTAAAGAAGTTGGCCATGATCGAGCGCGATTTGTCTTGGGCCTCTTTCTCTTTCTTCTCTTTCTCCACTCTTGCAGCTCTCTTTTCTTGTCTCTCTTTTTCCTATGGAAATGTTATATGAAATTGATCATCCAGCCCACCAGACACCACGCACTTTGGCTGCCTTTTCTGGATCCACTTTCTTAACCCGGCTTCCGGTTTTGGCTTCTGTACCAGGCTCCTGCGCAATACGGGTGATTTAGAGAAATAGTCACCATCATACGCAAAGTAAGGACCTCGCCCAGTGCATTCTCCGTGTCCTTTGACTGCTTCTTGGATTGTGGCGATTTCAATTCCTCGCCACTTAGATCGATGACATTTGGCTCGTCCGTAGCCTTGATGCGGGTCTTTGCTTTCAGAGGTGTTCTGCTCGCGTTCTTGGTGCCTAAGATGATGTTTTTTTCCTCTTCGGATAGCGATGCGAACAGCGCGGCTGCGTCCATCTTAGCCTATCACTTGCTATTAGGATTCATCACGTCGGTGCAGACCCTAGAGTTCACAAATACCTGACGCCGCTCAGCTAGCCGACTTTCTGCCTTCTCTCTCGCAGCCTTAGGAAGCCACTTTCGACATTCGTCTAACACCTCCCACCGCCATATGTGTAAGGCAGCGGGCACTTTAGAGTACCCTGGAATAGTCTCAAGGCCATAGTCGATGCGGTTAGCAACAGCCTTGATAGCTTTCTCGACTGTTTCCACACTGAGTGCCGCACTGACTGCCTCTGAGGTCTGATCGTCCTCGTCGTGCACGGGCAAAAGCTCACTGTGTATGTGTTTTGTAAGGGCCTGTATAGTTTTATCGCTGCATCAAGGGAGACTAAGCCGAGACGCTCAAGCTCAGCGGACTGAAGACACACCTTTCGTGTGTCAGTTTCACGATCAAAGGTCTATACTCCTCCGAAATGGCATCTAGTGGTGGTTCTCCATGCTCAATCCTCTCCTCCAGCATGCAGCGAAATTTCACAATTTCTGGGACCCGATCAGCTCCGCGGATTCTTCCACACCGCTTATAATCGCCAACCTTGCATAGTGTCCGACATTTTCTCATAGGAGAGCAATTTCTGCTTAAGTAAAATCCTTCCATTCTTGAGTTCGACCATGGATGTCCTCTCCGGCTTGTCTACGCGTCAAGGTCAGGGACAAGCAGACATGTTTAGAATTAATCCTCACCGCTAGGTGTATCCCCTTCAACTTCAACTTCGACTAGCCCATTTCAGATAAAGCCGGAAGAATAACGCGTAGAGAACGAACCTATATCGATGTCCGCGTTCAACATCGTATTCAGGCAGATAATAGCAGTACAAGCCGATGGAGAGCGAGAGGATTCCAGCCACGACGCGTTGTGTCACTTCCGTGACAGGCCGTGATGTTTCGCGATTAGACGCGTGACTCGCGTGTTCTCGCTCGGGTGGTGATGTCACGGTCGCGTCGAATACTCCTTCCAAAATATCCAGCATGTCATTCTTCCAACCGCAAGCACCAAAAGCACCCAAGAAGAATGCAGCTAATCCCGAACTCCAGCCATGGGTTGAAAAGTAGTCAGTGTTCAGGCTGGAAGGTTCAAGCTGAGAGCGTCTAGAGTAATGACCGGAACCCCCACAGTCGACCCAAAACCATTGACGACATCTCTGCTCAGGAGCACACAGTGGCGGTACTGCGGAGAACATTGACCTCTACAAATGTAAGAACGGTAACACAACCCTCAGATACAGCTGATGCCTTGTAGCTCCCCCACATGCTATTTTACGGACCACCAGGGTCGGGGAAGACATCGACAATCCTTGCGTTGTCGAGGCAGTTATTTGGGTCTGTCCTGTGTCTTCTTTATCTCTGTAATGTCACCTTGAATATGTGCAGACCAGATAACTTCCGTTCACGAGTACTCGAATTAAATGCATCTGACGAGCGTGGAATTGCAATCGTGCGCGACAAGATCAAGAACTTTGCTAGGCAGACACCTCGAGCTCAAGCAGTCTCTTCTGATGGAAAGACTTACCCATGTCCTCCGTATAAAATCATCATCCTTGACGAAGCCGACTCTATGACACAGGATGCGCAGGGCGCTTTGCGGCGCATCATGGAAACCTACGCTAGGATCACCCGGTTCTGCCTCGTTTGTAATTACGTGACACGGTAAGCATGGCTTATTCGTTCTCAGTCCATTTGACCTGATACGGGGCGACTGCAGAATTATTGAACCACTCGCGTCCCGATGTTCCAAATTTCGCTTCAAGCCCCTTGACTCGACTTCAACGTCCAGCCGTCTCTCTCAGATTGCTCTCGAGGAACATATTTCAGTAACAGACGAAGTAGTTTCTACCCTCATCAATACCTCACATGGCGACCTCCGACGCTCCATCACCTACCTCCAGTCTGCCTCCCGCCTCGCTATGTCAACTAACCCACCAACGGAGATTACGCCAAGTGACATACAGGAAATCGCAGGAGTGGTGCCCGATACCGTGATAAACGACTTTGCTGCGACTCTTGGCGTTGAAGTGCTCGTTCCCAATGCGATGGATGTCGACATTCCAGCAACTTCTAGAGCCAAAGATTTTGATGGGGTAAAGAAGAAAGTTAAGGAAATTATTCGTCAGGGCTACTCTGCGACACAGATCTTGTCCCAGGTGAAGTGAACCCACATTACCTTGCAATTGTACCTTACGTTCGTCAACAGCTGCACGATCTGGTCATTGAACACCCCACTCTATCCGCTCGACAGAAATCGCGATGTGCGCTCGTTTTCGCCGAGGCGGATAAAGCTCTGTGTGATGGCGCAGACGAGGAACTTTGGATCTTAGAAGTTGGCTTATGTGTGCACAAAGCCTTATCATAACAGACTTGCGCTTGCCTTCCTTCTCACGTCCATGGCTGTTGATGTAGCGCTATTTCTTTGTCTCGAGGATTGAGATCATGATGACAAGTGTACAATTATGCGATGCACGAAGCGAGAGCTACGATTCTGTATACCACAAATGCACAACAAGTGAAAGGAGATCATACGTACAACACTATGACTATGCTAACACATCTTACAGAGATTCGCCCGCCTCACCGAATGCCAGCAGTGGCTTTTTGCAATGCCCGCTTGATACCCAGCTGCGCCTTCCTGAGCTCATCAGCTGTCGAATCCTCGATCTCCAGCTTCTCAAGAGCACGCGCAAGCTCTGCCTCCACTTGACCCTTCGCGCCACGCTTGAGCTTCATACCGATCTCTGGCGACGTGATCGTGTTCTCAACCTGGTGAATGTAGCTCTCCAGATCCGCCTTGGCCTCATGCCGGGCCGAGAAGTCTTTGTCTGCCTGCTTGAACTGCTCGGCGTCCTTGATCATCTGTTCAATCTCGGCGGATGAAAGACGGCCGACAGAGTTCGTGATGCCTGATCAAATAATGAGAATACACTCAGAAGCATTGAGTATGAACTCACTAATCTGAGCCTTGCGTCCAGACGCACGATCTTGAGCTGTGACCTTCAAAAGACCGTTGGCATCAACCTCGAAAGTGGTAACAAGCTCAGCCTGTCCTCGAGGCATGGGAGGGATACCATTGAGCTCGAACTCGCCCAGCAGTCGGTTGTCACGACATTGAGTGCGCTCGCCCTCATACACAGGGAAGGTGACGGTCGTTTGGTTGTCCTCAACAGTGGTGAAAGTCCGCGATTTGTTGGTGGGAATCGGGGTGTTGCGAGGAACAACAACACCAAAGATGTCTCCTTGCATGGCAACACCCAACGAGAGAGGGGCAACATCAAGCAAGAGGAGGTCGGCGGTCTTGTCAGAAGTCTGACCAGTGAGAACCGCAGCCTGTACAGCGGCACCGTAAGCGACAGCCTCATCGGGGTTAATCGACTTATTAAGCTGGCGGCCGCCAAAGTATTCCGAGACCAATGATTGAACCTTAGGAATACGAGTGGATCCACCGACCAGAACAATATCATCGACCTTCTCGCGAGGCATCTTGGCATCCTTAAGCACTCGCTCAACAGGGTCGATCGTCGACTTAAAGAGAGAAGCATTAATCTCCTCGAAACGGGCACGAGTGATGTTCGCCGAGAAGTCTTCACCCTGATACAATTTCGTATGAGAGCTGCATCACGAAAACATACATTTAACTAACCTGGTAGAGCGAGTCGACTTCTACAGTCGTCTGGGTGACGCTGGAGAGTGTCCGCTTGGCGCGTTCACAGGCACTCCTCAAGCGACGCAATGCACGAGGATCATCGGAGATGTCGAGTTTAGTTTTCCGTTGGAATTCCTTTTTGAAGTGGTCCAACAAGTTGTTGTCAAAATCCTCGCCACCCAGGTGAGTATCACCGGCTGTCGCCTTGACGGCGAACACACCACCAGTAATGTTCAGCAGGGAGACATCGAAAGTTCCACCGCCCAAGTCGAAAATAAGGACGTTCTTTTCGGCGCTTGACTGGCGATCCAGACCGTATGCGATCGCAGCTGCTGTGGGTTCGTTGATAATGCGGAGGACATCAAGTCCGGCGATGGCACCCGCGTCCTTGGTAGCAAGACGCTGGGAATCGTTGAAGTATGCAGGAACGCTGATGGGGCAAGTCAGTTTATCGTTAAAAAGGCATGAAATGTTTGAACTGACGTGACGACCGCCTTCTTGACAGTCTTTCCAAGCTTGGCCTCAGAGATCTCCTTCATTTTTGTCAAAACCATAGACGAGATCTCTTGTGGGCTGAATGATTTTTCCTCGCCAAGATACTCAACCTTGATCAGAGGTGATCCATCTTTCTCGATGACCTCAAAAGGCCAGTGAGAAATGTCCTAAATAATATAATTGTCAGATTCAAATTCATCTGCGCAAACAGCTAGCACGATGGACCTTCTTGACATCGGGATCGCTGTAATAGAATCATGAATGTAGGGGACAGAGACATAACTGGTGTACACACTCATATCTCCGGCCGATGAGACGCTTTGCATCGAAGATGGTGTTGCGAGGGTTCATCGCGGCCTGATTTTTGGCGGCATCGCCGATCAGTCGCTCCTCCGAAGAAAAAGCAACATATGAAGGCGTCGTCCGGTTGCCCTCTGCAAAAGGTAAGATCCATATCGATGAATTGCTCAAAGATACCTACGGTCATTGGCAATAATCTCAACACGGTCGTTTTGCCAGATACCTACACAGCTGAGCAGAAGCGTAAGACGCGATCCAGACGACGTAGATTGCACACTCACGAGTAGGTTGTTCCGAGATCAATACCAACAGCACCGTCGAATGCGTCCTCCATTTTTTGATAGAGAGTGAAAGAGAGGAAAAGACTGGGAAGATTGAAGGAGAGGGTGAAGGAGGCGATCTGCCAGGGAGCGAAAAAAATCGATTGTCGCTGAGGTAAGCAAGTCTAGCGCCCGCCGCAATTGGCCGCCGGCGCCTCCTCGAATGCGACAGCATGTCTCTCTCGCGCGTCCGACTATGCCTGGCTGCCGTAGCACGGTCCTCACGGCGCACACCATGTATTGCTGCGTCTGCAAGGCATCTTTCAACTCTCGAGGCTGAGAAAAAGCCCTTGGAAACACAAGAAGAATGGACGAATTTTCAGCTGAAACGAGAGGAGTATCAGTCTTTAAGTGAGTGCTTCTTTCATACGTGTGTACACCTGACTAATATGTGGTACTTCTAGTTGACTATTTCTCTGCGTACGGGTCTACTCAAACGCGTAACAATACGTTCCAGCCTCACCACAGTCTCCATCGACCACCTGCTCCTTCTAATGTCACGTTGTCTGCCCTCATGGCTTCCGGGGCCCATTTCGGGCACTCCCAATCACTCATGAATCCTAACTTCATGCCTTACGCGTACGGTGTGCGAGCCGGTATTACTGTCATTGATCTCGACCATACACTTCCACTACTTCGTCGTGCAGCCAATGTTGTGCGAGGCGTAGCCGCGAAGGGAGGCACCATCGTCTTTGTGGGTACGCGGCCCGACTTACGACCCATTGTACGCAAGGCTGCGGAAAGGGTAGGCGAACGCGTTTACCACGTTGGCGAAAAATGGCTGCCTGGTACTCTGACCAACAAAATCGTAATGTTCGGCGCGGAGGCCGCAAAATCCGAACAGGTCGTCCCAGATCTCGTCATACTGCTGAATCCAATCCCCAATGTGCATGCCATTCGCGAATGTGCAATTGAGCACGTCCCAACCATCGGAATCATCGACTCCAACGTCGATCCACGCATCGTCATGTACCCTATACCTGCTAATGACGAAAACACACGAACAGCAGAGCTTATCGCAGGGGTTTTAAGCATTGCTGGAAGGGAGGGTGTTGCGTTATATGGCGAAGAGCGCGCCAAAAGGGCTATTCGTACGGAGAGGCTGCAAAGAAATCGCGAACAGATGCCAGAACGTAGGTAATATACATACATCATGCACGTAATATTCATTGCTGTGTTGCGGTCATTCCGGCCGCAATCTGGATTTCATGCCAATATTCTGATTGATTGATAAGTTACTAGCGAAGAGTAAAATTGGAGAGGGTGCCCACTTTCAGCTTGTTCCAATGCCCGAACATTTCCTTTCAGCTTATTGATGGTCTCTATATATTCATCCTCCTCGACGCTATCAAATACAATACCACCACCGGCCTGTAAATATGCGATGCCGTCTTTGAATGTCATAGTGCGAATGGCGATACAGGTGTCCATTTCGTCGTCCGCAAAGTCGAATCGACCCACAGCACCAGCATATACGCCGCGACGCTGTTGTTCTAACTCGTATATAAGTTCGATCGCCTTGATTTTAGGAGCTCCCGATACAGTTCCCGCCGGGAAAATTGATCTAAAAGCATCAAATCTATGAAAGAGGCGAATGAGCGATGGGATGCGGAAACGGTATGGCGTATGAACCAACCTCGTTTTTCCCTCTCTAAGCTGCCCAGACACTTGTGAAGTCAGATGAGTTACGTGGCTGAACTTCTCTAGTCGCATCAGATGGTCGACTTTTACAGTCTTGGGCTGGCAAACCCGATTGACATCATTCCGTGCCAGATCAACTAGCATGATGTGTTCCGCTCGGTCTTTTTCGGAGGACAAAAGCTCGGCGCCCAGTTGTTCGTCCTCTGGTGAGCGATATAATAAACATGCCATAGGTTCGATGCATTCATGGATGTGCTCTTACCTTGTCGGGATTTGCCCCTCCGTATCGTACCTGCGATAGCATGGTTGAAAACCTTGTCTTGCTCGACTTTGCATAGCGTTTCGGGACTTGCTCCCACCAGCTGCACTGAACCACAATCTAGGTAAAACATGTACGGGCTGGGATTCACCCGTCGCAAGTGTCGGTAGGCGTTGAATGGATGTAGGGATGTTGGCCGTGACAGTCGTTGGGATGGCACGGCCTGAATGATATCGCCTGCGACAATATGCTGCTTCAGCTTGGTGACAAATCCTTCGTAACCCTCCTTCCCGACATTCGATACAGCTTCGGATCCAAGGACGATGAGTGGTTGGGGCACCTCCGGTGTCGCAGAGTTTAAAACCATCTTCGCTAGCCTGCGTGCTTTCGCGACTGCCGTTTGGTAGATGAATGAAAGATTGACACTGCCTGTATTTCCCGGACAAAAGACGTGCGAGACGACTTTCACATTTTGGTATAGGTGGTCATAGATGATGAGAGTGTCAACTAGCATGAAGATAGCCTCGGGGATACCGAGAGGGTCGCTGACCGCTCGAGTAGTCTTGGGTTCGAAGTGCTGGATACAATCGTATCCAATATAGCAGATCGCACCACCTGTGAAAGTAGGCACCTCCGGGAGCTTCACGTACTTGTATACTCCGAGTTCCTTTTGGAGTGCTGTCATGGGATCCCCAGTAATCTCTTCATTAGGTCCGGTCTTCACCACCTTGAAAGGATCTGCATGGATTCTCGGATGAGACAACACGAAGACAAAAGCTGAAAAAGCTCACCTGCCCCAACGAAGCTATACCGCGCAATATTTTCTCCCGCAATCACAGACTCGAGAAGGAAGCTATACTTTGAGTCCTTTGCTATGCGCAGATATGCCACACATGGCGTCAAGAGATCTCCTGGCAATTCCACGTACACTGGTACACAGTTTCCGCGCTTTTCCTTGAGTATTATGCGTTCTACATCAGAAAGGGGTGGGTATGCGGGCAATTTCTAAGTGCAGCGTTGGTCTGAGTGCAGGTTCATGGCACTAACAACAACCAGACTAACCTGGGGATCCATTTTGAGCTTTCGCCTGACAGCGGCGGCGATTCTAATGACTGGTATGGAAAGAAGAGCATGTTTTTACTCACTCTTATATATATGCGATCGCGCGCGAGTCGATTGAAGCAATGGATGATCCGTGCGAGTCATTCCAGTCAGCGAGCTCTGGGCTCAAAAGACTCGGAGCGCCCACTGCCAATCCACCTTGGAAAATAAATACATTCCGAGTCTCGTTCATCTCATCTCCTCCGCGTCTCCCACTCAACATCGCCAGGAGCTCATCATGATCACACCTCGGTTTGCATGCAGCCAGACGGAAACCGCTGTGATTGTCACCATGTACTGCCCCTCGATCCGAGTTTGTTCTACCGTTTGTTCTCTTACTCACATCCTGATACACCTCGTCTCGGAAGTAGGCCTCTGACGTCGAAATTAACGTTGACGAGACACTTTTCAGTATCCATGTAAACCCTTACTTCCTCCGCCTCAATTTCTCCAATTCACTCTTGGATGACGAAGACGCATCAGCGTCTTACGATGCCGCAAGCGGAAATCTCACCGTGACATTGACCAAGGAAGTGAAGGGACAGGAATTCAAAGACTTGGACCTCCTGGCAAAATTGCTGGCTCCTCGGCCGTCCGAGCAAGTCCTCGAAGATCCCGTAATTGAGGTTTTGGATTCAGTCGACGCTGAGGGCAGCGTAGATGACGAGCTAGCGGCAAAAACACAAAATCTGACGCTAGAGCAGCACGAGATTCTGCAAGGTAGTTTCGCAGCGCGGCTGTTGTATGATTGATGCTAATTTCAGACGTTTGCAGCTGCGCAGAATGACTGGCAATTGCCACAAGAAATCCCTGCACCGCTCCCGGCAATAAAGATGACATCCGTGTGCCACTACGGGTTTCTCAATATGCATTCTGGGTATTTCCGACATGTAGCGCACACGGAAAACGAGGTGAACGAACTCGGCGCTGATGCAGAAGCATGCCCGCCAGATGAACGACGCCGGCTGCGCCTCAAACACGAGGAAGACAAATGGGACGAGGAGCATTACATGTAAGCGCACATATTTCTATTCCGCAGTGTCCGAAGTTCATGTATGGCAGTGCAGATTTCATAGAAGACGAGTACATTGAGGAGCTCTCTACATGGCAAAATCCTTATACTACCTCCGCCGGAGAGTTCCAATACACCGAGGATGAAAATATGGCGATGTTGCGCCTCCCCCGGAAAGAATGTCAGAGATCCTGCGACCGTGTTCTCACCGCTTTCTAACGCGTTGCTGGTAGATCTCTCGTCGCCGCAACAAACACACGACTTATATCTCACCCTCCTCACACTGCTCTTTTCCTATGCATACGAAACGCGGTCTACACAGCACGATCCCACACCTGAGAGCGCTTGGACGCTGAGCAGTCTCACTCCCGCCTTTTCCGCGCTTGATCCTCCTCCATACTGTGGGACATCTTCCGACTCGGCTCAGTTCACCGCTGCAGAGCTCACCGCTACATTTGCCGCCTCGTACCGCCGTGCATTGGCATTCCCGCTTTACCGCTCATTTGCGCTGTGTGAAATCTGCAGAATGGACGTCGCTGCGCTTATTGCACGTGGTAAACGTGTTGTGACACGGTGCTTACTCGAGATGAAGCAAATTCTGGATCACCATGAGGTGTATTACGTGTATGGTAAAATATGGGTGGATGATTTTTGTGTATGGTGTCTCGCATACGCCAGGTGAGTTCTCCCGCGTTGCCTCGCGGTGTATGGAAGATGTTCAACGAACGCGCCACCCTGTCCGCAGCGATGATGTGCTCAAGGGCTTGGGTGACGCCGTATCGTCACTCCGAATGGAGAAAACGGCGATTGGGTGGGACTTGGCTGGACTAGAAACGTCGGCTCTCCGGACAATGGAGCGGGACTCTGACAGCGACGACGAATCAGAGGATGAAATTGAGCGAATGTTGCCAGCGCCACTGTAATCACTTTGTTAGACGGTGAATTTGATCATCACCTTACGATCTATCCAAGCTGACAATGTGTATAAGATGTCAGGAGGACTGGTGAGTCATACCTGCGTCGGGTGTTCGCACTGCGTGGCAGCTCGGGGCGCTGACGGCCCGTCAGACATACTTTGTGGAGTAGATTACGCTTTACGCGGTGGTCGACTATACGTGCAACATAGGGAATATTGGATCCGTCCGAGGAACATATCGGAGAGGCTTGTGCGCCTCGACATTCCCCGAGGACGTGAGAGCGTTCATCTTGCGAATACATAAGCACATCGTGCGTGTAAGTTACGCCTATCCGCCACGGAGCGTATGTCACCTTGCCACATTGAACTGCGGCCGTAAAAGTAGCATTCAGGACGAAGTGAACCTAGTCAAGGTCGAGATGTCTGAATACGCGAATACAGGAGACTCACATGCTAGCTTGATGACCCGGACGATGCTGTCTCCTTGCAATTGAGCTGGATATTCGGTAGCTTATGAGCTCGTAGCTGATAACAGCGGCTCGTTGTCCCCGCCGATACCTTAAATGAGGGACGTAGCATGTCGAACTGTCACCGAGTGAATCTGTTGATCACAGTCGATATGGCTAGGCTCAACAATCAGAGCTGCTGGGCGACCGGATGCGACTATTGGTATTGACGTAGACGCTCCGGCAATACTGTCTGACGAGAATGATGAACGGGACTTGACCACAGTTGTGGCCCAGTTATTCCATGCCAAGGCATTCTACAACTTGCGTGCAGGTCAGCTGTGATCAGCCCCGCGCTGGTTTGCGCTGGGCTCGCAATACTCGCACTAGGAGTACAACATGCGCCACGTTGAGAACAAGGACATTGAGCTGTGGCGCTTGGCGCCATGCGCAGACTATATCGGGGCCAATGATCCCGCTCTCGACGACCGGTTCCCCAGTGCATCACTTGGTCCGAGCGTGACAGATCGGTGACACACGGAGGCCAAATAGCAGACAACGAACTGCAGAGAGGGAAACCACGGAGCAATTGCATCAGCCAAATACCGGCGAGCCTTCGAGGCTCGACCTGTTCGCCGCAGAAGCAGAGACTTCGGGTCCGAAGGCAAAAGTGGGCGTCTGTATGAATAAGCTATCCGCACCGTGTGTAATAACGTTACAACGCGGAAGGCGGAGCACAAGGTGCAGCGAGATTCGACGCCCGCGGGGTGGAGATGTTGGGAATGCAGAGCTATGATTGGGCGTGTAGGGCTTCGAGGGCCATCGTGAATCCCGCGATACGCATTCCTGTTTTGGCACGCGCGCGATCGGTCATACTTGAAGGGCGTCGCTCAGAGCGTGGATTTTGCAGGTGAATCGCATGCGTCCACGTCATTGGGCAAGTATGTACTTGTCCACGCTCAATACGGATTGACTTCGCAGATATCTGAACCTAGCGGGGTATCTTATTTCGAATTCAGGGCTAGCCATGCGCACAAGCATTTGCCAAGTGTACTGTAGACTGAAAATTATGGACCAGTAGTGCCGATTATGGAACTGGGGTACAACTCACCGGAGTCATCGATGAGTGTGCGGAAAAATTAGAAGATCGGTCGGAGGAGACTCAGCATCAAAGCCTCGGTGTCGATGTGCATATGTACATGGAGGATTTTTCGGCCACGGGCCGATGGTCCAGGCAGCGGAGTAGTTGTACCAGCGACTCGGCGAAGCACCGCCAAAGGCTGAGATCGCCGTCCTGCGTCGCAGTCGCCTTCTCATTCCCAAGCTCGATTCTTGGGATGCTCTCGTCCAGTAGCTCCGAGTAAGAGCGAGGTGAGTTAGAACCTGTGTGAGAGCCTAACTGCAGCCACTAGCGATGGGTAGCGTGAAGGGGCACACCTCGTGGAATCTGGGGGACACATTCTGTTGGATATTCATGCGCTTTGAATGCGGGCAGCCGGTGTCAGTGATATGTCACAGCGACGTCTTCCTGGGCCACTGTTCCCAATACAGTAAGTACGATGTGAGTGGGCAACCTACGACGGAGCTGGACGGCAGGCCGGCTGACTGCGGCCCACACAGAGAGGAGTGAACTGGACCCGCGCATGCACACGCAAGAACAAAAACGCCATCACGCACCGAAGAACTCAAATTCCGAATCGACGCTGGGATCTGAGTATTAAGATGCGGACGTGCAGATAGCCTGCGGCAAGCAGAATTGCAGTGATACGGTTTGATCTCGCGCGTTCGCATCGCATGTCTTTCGACATTTGAGGAATAGAATGGGCCGAGCGTGCGGCGCGTCCGAGGTGGCCGAGACATACAGGATCGTTGATGTTGTTATGTGCTACGTACCGAGAACAGCCTGATGCCGTTCTGTCGTCAGGCCGTTGACGATGGGGGCACAAAGAAGCATTTCCTCGCCGCGCTGCGTCAATTGGAATTCGCCAGTCGAGGGTGTGAGTGTGGAGTGGGCACACGAGGGAGATCAGAGCCAAAGGTCTCGCCGACGCCTGTCATGGGGCAGACGACTTGTCCGAGTCCGGAGCTCTCTGGCTGAAACGTGTCTCTAGCCGCACACACGAGGCGGGCTTCGAATTCACGCATGCAAGGCAAATCTGCCCCGCGGTCTCTCGTCAATGAACGGGGTGCAATCGTCCTAATGCTACATTTCGGAATTCGGGATCCTAATTAGAGCCGACGGGTGAAACAAGTGTACCGTATGAGGACTACGACGGTGCGCCGGTGCCGACCATTGAGCATGAGGTCAGCGGGAGTAGATACAGAAAATGGAACCATGCAAGATACACATTAGCCGTGGCTGTGTAGGGTAACCGATGATGCGACCAATCAATGGGAGGGGAGGGGGGGATGTCAATGATACTTGCTGAGATGCGACGGAATGCTTGAGATATGCAGCTGTGACGGGACAACAATATGTAGCCAAAGAACATCGACAGACAAAACGTGAAACGGGAAAATTGATGCAATGGGCACCCTACCAAATAATTCGAACTGCAGGGCGAATGTGATAGAAAAGACACATTAAATATGCGCGATAGAGCAGAGAAAGCTGGAAAGCCAGAACAGATGTTGACTCTATGAGACAAGCCACACAAGCGGCGAAGTGGCATCCGTGGCCAAAACTCGGCGGTGAGATCAGTTTCACAGCAGTGGTCGATGGTCAGTAGAGCACGGCCGTACTGGAAGACATGAAAATGGATATCTGGCATCCACAGCATTCATGATACGACGTGCTTTGACCTATAGTTGAGCTGCATGCGCTCTTAACCGTCGGCAACGACTAGCAATGCGAGCGAGAGAATAGATGGTATGCTCAGCCGCGTTGTGAGACTTGCTTCTTCCTGCCAAAATTTAGGCCCAGAGACCCCAAAATATGGCTAGGACTTCGTCTTGACTGCGTTTCGATACGCGTAGACTCCTCTTCCCAGACACGGACACGATCTTTCGGTGAGATCTCCAAGCGGCGCCCGTTCTCGCTTGGTTTCCTCCCATTATCGTGTTCGCTCGCCACATCCGCTCCCTCTACACCAGTCGGGCCGCCTGTCTGCCCCGATGTGCGTCGTGCATGCCCGCGCGATTCTCGCCTCGCATGCAATGTCTCATGCGCGCCCGCGTTCGTGTCCAAAGCCAGGTCTATATCTCCCGTGTACGGAAATGATGACTTGTCCCGCGGCCCAGCAGATGTATGCGGCCGCCGCGCCGTCTTCACACGCGTCTTTTCCTTCTCAGCCATGCCCGACTGTGACTGCCCGCCCTTCCGATGATGCGCCGACCGCGCCGCATCGTCGTGTATGTCTGGATACGACTTCGATTGGCCGTCTGCCGCCGCCCGCCGCGCAACATCCTGCTCGTCGTCGCTATGCCGTGCCCGCCATGGGCTCTTCGATTTGCTGCGGAGCGCGCCCTCGCGCTGCTCCGCATACTTCGTCAAAGCGGTACGACGCTCCGCCTCACTCGTCGCCACGATCACGATCTCGTGTGGCTCGAGCTCGAGGATGTCCGTACCTGCAGGTCCGGTAACGCGCACCGTCACTCGGATGAAGAAGCGAACAGACGCAAGCTCGCTGTGCATTGTCTCGCCGAGTGCCCATCGACTCTGCGGGCGTGCTGTGGGCCACTGCATCGAAAGCGTCTTGGACCACACACCCGCAGCATCGCGCGCGAAGCCGCTACATTCGGTTGTAAGTACCGGCAGCACAAGTGTCTTCTCGGGCGGTTCGGAAGAGCCAGACGAAGAGTGGCGTAGTGGGTAGGGAAAGCTGCTGGGTGGGAACGATGACACGGCCTGTGGGCTCTCTGAGAGTAGCGGACGCGAAGAAGCATGAGACTCGAATGATGTTGTACTGCTTGTTGGCGTCAAAGGCATCGGAGAGGCGCTACCAGAGGTATATGCGGATACTGATAGGTGGGAGTTGCTGGACTTGGGTGTCACGCTATCATGACTGGGCAGGTAGGGAGAAGCGGAAGGGGTAGACGTAGCGCTAGCGGACGCAGATGGACTGAGGATATCAATGCGACGCTCAACGACAAGTGTCGCGTGGCGGACATAAACGTTGTGATCGAGCGGCTGAAGAGATAGCGACGCGAATACAATGTCATTTGGACCCACAGGATGATTGGGAGCGGAGATGGAGTACCGAAGAACGGGAGCACGTGGCTTGTTCGTTTGGAGGTACGACGGATGCTGAGATGAGATTGGAGGAGGAGGGCTGCTAGGTAAGAGGGGATACGGGGGAAGGTCATACCGGACAAGAGCAAGATCAAAATGACGGACAGTACGACGCCCGATGCCGATGATGGGAGTGTGCTCGAGAGCTTGCGGGATGAAGAGTATATGCGGGAGCAGCGCGGACAGAAATGATGAGTGATGAGCGGTAAGTGAGATGATTGATGGACTGAGAGAAGTGTACTCACTGGCCTCCACGCGCCAGAAAGTGCGGTAGACCTGGAAGTTGGCAGTGCTAAGACCGGCAGTGCGTTTTGGGAGAGTGATCTTGAAGGAAAGGTCGAGGTCGCCGACGTCGGCCCAGTCGGATGTTTCTGGCTTTGACCAGAGGACATCTGTGTAGTCGACTAGGAGAGAGGTGCGGCCGGTGCCGCGGGTGCGGCTGGAGCGGGACTCGTAGCACCTGACGGAGACGGAGATGGACTTTGCGAGGATGGACTTGCCGTCCTCCTCGATCCTGGTGCGGACGGCTGAGCGGGGAAGCTGTAGTGAGGGGGTGAGGAGAGAGAAAGTGGGGACGCACTGCCTTCGACTTTGACGGGGGTGAGGCCGAGGTAGCCATGGAAGGGGAAGTAGGGGGAGGAGGCGTTGCCCTTTGCGGGGGAGAGGAGGAGCTTGACCATGGCCCGGGGGAGGGGGGAGGAGGGGGGGGCCGGAGGTGGGAGGGAGGCATTT